TGCAGAATAAAAGTCATAATTTCATCAAAATTCCAGGATTAATGATCTCATGTTCTCAGGATGATGGTACCCATAAGTTGTACTATAACTATCCGAGCTCCCATAAAACATGAATTTAACATCATTTATTTTTTAAATAGGCTCCATTTTGCAATTTTCAGCTCTCTCTCAGATTCAATACATGGGTTTTTTTGATGACAGCTATGCTTAAATTCATCTTCTTGCTTCTACATTTTGTTTCCCTTCATATCACTGCTGAAAAATCCATCTTTCCTACGTTTTAATATTAGCTTTGATAACACCATTGAGCTGCCTTTTCCTAGTGATAAATATCTTTAAAGTTTGTCCTACTCACACTGATAAAACTCTCACAGGGTTATTGCTGAATTGCCAGTAGTGCTGATTTTCAACTTCAGTCCGTTCCGATAAAGACAAAATAAAAAATTTGTGTCAAAACACAAGTCAGAGTGACCTACTTAAAAACAGCCAGTTACAAAGTTACTGGGATATTTTTATAACATGCTAAAAGCTGAAACTCAAAATTTCTGGTGTGAATCAGACGATTTCGTATTTCCAGTGTCCTTCACAGGAGTAACCCAAGTACTACGGCACTTGCTGTTCCAGGATGGTTTCCAGACATCCCAGTGTAAACTGAAGAAAACCAAAAATTGTTGGAAACTTTTCACAGCCCTTTCCAGGCATTTCTGGTCTTAACTTGTTCTACTCTTTTCTCCTTCATTTCCCATTCACCTCCTTTCATTACAACCCTGCAAAGTCTACTCCAGTTTTCCCAATTTAAGTTCAACCCTCTGACCTTTAAAGAATGTCACAGCTTTTTCTCCTTGAACCTCAGGAATCTTGAAAAATAACATTTAGCCTCATTGTCTGCTACTTGATTTCTTTCTAGGGTCAATTCTTCTTACTTATTTAGAAACTTAGGCTTCTTCCCTTCAGTTTTTACAGCTTCTCAAATAATTGCTGAGTAGACTTCAATCTCCTCTTTATTAAAGGCAATTGGACAGTCTCAGCTGGACTTGGTCACTCTACAAAAGGGTGCTGAGCAATAGGAGAGATATCAATATTCAAACAGAAATTGTGCTCTGTTTTCTCTTACTCCTTTCCCTTTCTTTTTGCCTTTATCCTTGATCTTAACCTTTTCTTTTTAATCCTTTTTCCTTTCCACTCTTCTTTCCTTTTTTTTTGATTCAGCATGGACCACCTGTAACAGTATAATTTCACAGTTCTCTACAAATCTGAATGCCAATATAACATTCAACAGAGGGCATCAGGGCTGTATCTGACCCTAGTTTCCCATTTTCAGCCTGATCCTGACTCCCATCCACAGCCTGACTTGCCAGCCTGGCCTCAGGCCACCCCATACTCATTCAGGTGCCAGATGCCCTGAGGGAGCCCCTGGGTCATGTTATTTAGGAAACCAAGCTACAGATATTAGTAAAACTTCACAGTGCCCCAAAAATCCAGCAAACAAACAAACAATGAGAGCCTGAAGCTCTGGTTTACTCCTGCACACAATTAACACCCACTAAAATCTGTGAGTTTTGTGCTTGTTCCCAGCGAGCCCTGTAGACTCTGTGGTTTTACAGGTTTCATTCTGGATTTATAAGGAAGTCATCATGAGAGAATTAAGCTTTTATTTTGGTTTTTAAAGGAAAACGAAAGTACCCAATTTTAAAAAGACATTAACCAATCCCTCACTCCCTAACACTGCTGTCAGAGATAAGAGTCTAACCTCTACCAAGTACTTGGCTTTAATGGCAGTTCTTAGTCAAGGGCAGGCCAGAAAGCACTAAAACACTAAAAAACCCACACCCCATATTTTCCAAAGCCTGTAAATTAACACAACAAACAAATAAAACTTGGAGCTGCGACTGGTTTTTAAAGTAACATTTGCAGTTTCAATTTCTAAGAACCCACCAGTATAATTTTCATTAAAGATTAACTTTCTCTCCCCTAAAAAAACCATTAGCAAGGTGTTTCTCTTTCCAAAATTGTGTATCCATATTTCTCCACTGTGGATCCAACCCAATACTCATATAACAAATTGAAATCCCCAGAAAAAGAGGCTTAACAGAGGCTTTCCTTTCCTGAGCTGACAGCTAAAATAATAAGAAAAAGGTAATGTGCTTATTTCCCTTCCATTGTCATTTAACTAAATTTTTCCCAGCTTCCAAAAACACTTCATTTAAAAATGAATAAAGGTCAATTGAAAAAAACAAAACAAAACAAAAAAGGAACAAAGATAGAAGTGGTGAGGTGTTCATGACTGTGCTTGTCACAGAGAGTTTGATACACACATCTGTGGGTGGAACCTGAATCCAAATAAATCACTCGTATCATTCTTGAGTGTTTGATAAAATCTGTGCAGGACCCCAAGGTGATGAATAGAAAGAATGTAGAAATAGATGCATGTATTCATAGGTACCCATATCATAGAACTGTTGAGGCTGGAAAATATCTCTAAGATCATCAAGTCCAACTGTCCCCCCAGCACTGCCAATGCCAGCACTAAATCATGTCCCCAGGGGCCACATCCACACATTTTTTGAACACTTCCAGGGATGGTGAATCCACCACTGCCCTGGGCAGCCTGTTCCAATCATTAACAACTATTTCTATGAAAAAAACGTCCCTAATATCTAATCTACATCTCCCCCGGTGCAACTTGAGGCCACTTCCTCTCATCCTTTGTTCCCTGGGAGCAGAGCCCAACTCCCCCTGGCTCCCCCCTCCTGTCTGGGAATTGGAGAGAGTGAGAAGGCACCCCAGGGCCTCCTTTTCTCCAGGCTGAGCCCCCCCAGCTCCCTCAGCCCCTCCTGCTGCTTCAGCCCCTTCCCAGCTCCATTCCCTTCCCTGGACACACTCCAGCCCCTCAAGGTCTCAATATCCTCTACCCCAGTGCATATGTAGGCAGGGATCTGTTCTCTGGGAGAGGGTATATGGGGCACAGAATGGCACAGGGGCATCTAAATACCATTTTAACCACTGCATTTTAGGGCAACGAATTGAGTCAGTAAATTCTACCTTTTTAATCACAGAGGAATAATAATCAATGCCTTTGTAAATGGCCTGAAAAGCTGCAGATAGAAATTGTGCTGTAATATTAATGATCCACATTCATGCCTGGCATAAATTGTTTAAGCTTCATCAGCTCCATTGAATTTGGGCCCATTTTGTCTCCTGAACTTCTGCTGCACAATTTGTACATGATTTAAAGTTCTCAGCATTGAAAACACAATTTTTTAAATTTTTTTTTTTTAATACTCTCAGGTTTACTTTGATTTGACAAAATACAAAATAAGTAATAAATTTGAGGAACAGGGACTTGTTCTTAAGTATTGAATCTCAGCATTAACAAGTTGATGTCATCAATATGTACTTAGTCCATAGTTAATAGCACTTAGTTATAATTCAAATTATATTAAAAAGTACAATAAATATGGAATATAAGTATTTATTGGGCCTATTATTGATCTGTATAATGGCACTTTATACCTGCCAGTTACTCTGTTGAAAAATTTTTAACAAAAAATTTTATGGAACATTAGGTCAGAAATTTTAGCTGAATAAAAAGCCTGAACAGACATTTTGTTTTTTGACCTCTCCCCAAATTTTCTCTCTGCAGCTCACAGGAAAGAATCTGTGAAAGTTAATTCTACAGGATATTGTGGATCAACCAGTGTTGCACGTGTTCAAGGTACAACTTTCTAGTCATAATCACAATCTCATGAATCCACACTTCAGCTATAATTTCCAATAAATCCTACTGGAAGGCCAGAAAAAGAAGAAATTCTTGATTTTGGTCATTGGGATTTATCTGTTCAAATAAGAATTCGGGTCTCTATTAGGGCTAAAAGATATTACACTGGGCAGAAAAATAACACAATAATACTAAATAACCCCAACATATATTTTCAGCTTATTTTGTTGATTCCTGTTCTCAAAGCGAAAACAAAGACTGCCAGAGGCACAAAAGTTTTTGCTTTTCCATCTCATAGGGAAATGACTGTTTTTTCTGTCCAAAAGCTACATTTGCTGCATCCTGAACAGATGCAATTTTCATTTGTTCCCTCTAAAATGATCTTGATGATTTTAAATCCCAGATGAGCGAGTGCAATCAGGTGGGGGAGGATCAGCTCAGACGTTTTCAGACATCCATAATACCTGAATCTGTGTCATACCTGGTCACCTGGTCAGTGAGTGGAGACCTAGTCTGTGAAGGCAATAAAATCTAAAGCATGATTCATGAGAAAAAATATAGACCACTGCTTCAAGATGAGAGCACTTGACTGCACTGAATTATTGAGATGCACATAGCAACAGACAGTACTGAGTATAAAGGGGTTTAAAATGACCAGTTTAGATGCAATAACCTACATTTAGATGAATCCAATCCCTGCTCTGTCAAGGTAAAAACAGGTTGGGAAAAAAAAAAAAAAAAAAAGAAAGGATTTTTTTTTTTCCCAGTCTATCAATCCAGTAAACTTTTATATTTTTTATATAATCTACATATTTTATATAATCTAGCAGACTTTTATATTTTTTCAATCAGATAATACATTTTCAGTTGCTCATATGTATTTTTCAGTGAAAAATTGTTCTGTTTAGAAACATAATTTCAGTCATCAACAAGTACATTCACCTGCACAGACCACAAAGTAATGTTTGTAATGATTTTCCAGAGACACATAATACATAATCAACTGACTCAGAAGAAAAGACTGTGCATTATTTATTCAAATCTAGAAACTTTGATGAAGCAGCCCAGTCTTGATGGGTTACAGAATCTCTTCTCAGTATGACTTCTGTAACAGAATTGAGCAGACAACAAAAAAACCATCCGTGGTCATGAATTTATTTGTTTATATCTTGTTTTTAAGCACAGATTTCCCTCTGAGTTACAGATCTCAGAGAATTAACTGAAATTTTTATGTGACCAAATAATGAATATTTCAATAAATCAATAATTCTAATAAACTTACCTGTCTCAGAGAGCAGTTTGGTAGCTTCCAGCACCTTCTCAGTATAAACTCCAGTTTCATAGTTTTCCATCTCTGCATTAATGATGTGAATAACTCTGGCTGCACGGCCTCGGATGGCACCTGCGGTCCTGTCCAGAGTATCCACATCCCCCTCTTGGAGAGCAATCACACACTTATTCACATCTTCCAGAATATGGTTTTCTGGAATGGAGGGAAAAAAATACAGCTCATTTAATTTCCTTCTTCCTCATAGCAAAGCTTACAGATTTGGGCAAACAGCAAATGTCAGTGTGTTAAAAAATTGATATCTGTCTTTATCCAGGTCTGCAAAGCAAATTCTCTTCTGTGATATTATGCCACATAATAGTAAAATTCCCAAGTGTGATATTTATCTTGAACAGGGACTGGACTACATCATCTTACCTATACCATGAGTCCCAACCTGCAATTCTTTTCAAACCAGTCACATTAATTTCAACCATCACATTGAATTTTGGTGTAATAAAAATCAGTGCAAAAAGGAAAGTGGTCAAACGTTATGCAGATTCTCTAATAAACAGTCTGAAGATGAATTTACACACTCCCATGAAATTTAATATGTTTGGTTCATTTGTGCCTAAATAAGTCAGAAAAGAAAATAAATAATTTTGAAAACACAACAGCAAATGGCCTTTGTAGATAGCAGGGAGCCTGGGCACAAGCAGTTCATCTCCTGCACTCCATCTATGCCAGAAAATAAGCTCTGAACTTTACATGACACACACTATAATTATATGTGACTGTGCATATTCTGAAATAAGAGTTAACAACAGTGAGTCTGCTCAGATGAGGTAATATTGACCAGCTTTATTGGATTCTTGGGAGCTGCACTATTTTTTTTGGCTCAGAATCATGTGCTGCAGTATCATAATTTATGTAGTATTCTCATATAAATAATGTGAAAGGATGAAGCAGATTTTGATTAGGTCAGGTACTATTTGCCAGCAGCCAGGAGAGTCAAAGTAATTTCAATAAGACTATGACTGAATTTCATATTTGACCAAACTCAGTCTGAGACACTCAGCAACTCTAAAAAACAACTTGCTTTTCTGTTACAGACACCTCTAAACTGAAAATGAAATGTTGTTCCTTGTAGTAGTAGTAAAACAGAATTAATCAGTTCACCAACTGCTTTTTATTAATTATCTTTGGCCACTAAAAAGAATGACTCACTAATCTTCAGTGTTAAAAATCCCAAGGTTGGATCATTTGAGAGTTTCAGAAATGTATTACATGATGTTGAATTTTACACTTTAACAACTATGGATGGAAACTGAAAGTCCCCTGAGATGTGAATCTGAGTAACTTGCAAGGCAAAATCCTTTGTTTAAAAAACTCCCTATATAGAATTAAAAAACATTGCTTTGTTGAAATTTTTCTCCACTATTTTGTTCTCACAAACATCATCAATTGCTTTTATGGTGGCATAACCAAATTTTGCCCAACGAGAAGTGCTACATGCATTTGAACAGACACTGCATTTGGAATATAAAATAACTTATTAAAACCATGGTCAGCTTTGTTTTGGTAGCCTATTATTAAAACATGCCATCAAATGTGACGGTATGAAGAGGAGGAGGTGTCATTTCAGGAGTTACATTTAATCAGACAGTAGCATTTAGAATGGTTCATTGGTTTAACATCTAAAAATAAAACTACCCTGTGTAAGCTGAGGCTTCCAAGCCTAGAGTAAGCAAGCAACAGGATTTCTGGATACATGTTGTGTTTATTTATGGACAGCATTAGGAAAAACAAACAAACAAACAAACAAAAACTCAATTGAAATTATACTTCCCAGCCACCTTGGAAAGTTTGGATCTAAGTCAAGACGAAGTCAGAAGGAAAAATGATTTGAGAAAAAGAAATGAAAACCCCCATCATCCATTCAACTGACTTCTGGTTTATGGACACAAGCACTTGGAGTAAACAAAGTTCTCAGGCAAATCAGAAAATGGCTATTTGAGAAAGTTTGCTAGCTCTCTGGCTTGTGGACTGGGCCAGCAGTTTACAGCCTGGTTTGCCCTTTCACTGTAGAACCAGGTCTGCTGAAAAGTGTTTGTCGGTCTCAAATCTCAAATAAAAATCAGTGTGCTCCCAGGTTCTGAAGTACCCTTTTATTCTGACAGTTCATTTTCATTTCCTTGTCATGGTTTGCAGTAAGCACTCTAACAGGGCTGTTGAACAGTGGAATGTAATTAACTAAGTCAAACCATTTTCCTGTTAATAATAGTAGTAGGATACAACCAAACAAAATAAAGGTCAGGGCAAAAAGGAAAACTCGGGATTTTTTAAAAGAATAAATATTTTTTCCTTCAAATCTCACAAAATTCTATTAGAAAATTTAGGTAACATCAAGGAAAGTAATGTAGATTGAAACATAACATTTTGGCCAGACTGTCTCATGAAGTTTGCCTCTTCTGAGACATTCAGGTAAGCCAAGCACTCTTGGCACACTCTGTGTCCTTATGCACAACAATGAAATTCACCTTTCAAACTGAAATAGGAAAATGAGTTTTCTGCAGCAGACAATTACCCCAGGACACGGAGCAATCTGCAATTACCGTGTTCATTGTGTATGACTGCATCATAACAATCCACTCTGCCACAAGTTGTAGCACTTTACAAGAAGGATGGAGAAAAGACTGTGACCCAAAGAGTCAATGTCCTTCTCTTCTCCATCCATTCTTTATGTGAGGACTAAGATACTTTGCCTTTTTCCACAGTAGAGCTTGCTTTGCATTGAAAGCCTCCCCAGTGAGGTCTGAGAAGTGTAAAGATTTGCGTTTTCCTGTACTACTTTACTACTTCTCTCTGGTTTTACTGTTACACCAATAACTTTGAGACCCAGAAGTGCCTCCCAGCTCTCTCAGACACTGGCCATGTCTGACAACATACCCAGACAAGAATCACAGAATCATGGAGTCATTAAGGCTGGAAAAGGTCTCTAAGATCACTGAGTCCAACAACTAACACTGTCAGGTCGACCACTAACATATGCAGCCTCTGCCTATTTCCCTTCTTCCTATCCCTCTTCAGGGCCTGGTAACCTGGTACAGATGGTCAGGGGGCAAGGACTCTGTGGTACATCTGCCCCACTGTACAGACACACTGAGCAAAGCTACAGAATAAAGCAAGGAAAGTGTCAAGGCCAGGTTGGATGGGGCTTGGAGAAACCTGGTCTAGGGAAAGATGTCCCTGTCTATGGCAGGGCATTGGAACTAGATGATCTTTAAGGTCTCTTCCAACCCAAACCATCCTGTGAATCTATGATTCTATAAAGTTCATCTTTCCTCCTCTTGCCTGCAACTGCACAACGATTCTAACAATTCCTACAAACACTGTCAGCCTGTCACAGGCCTGGAACACATTTTTAAAAGGTGGCTAAAATCCCCTTTGTAACTGAGTTGAAACAAAACTTCTCTAGAAATAGAAGTGCAAATAGGATGCTATTTTCTGGGAGGTGAAAAGCCAACCATTGCTACCAGGGATTAATTGACATGGTGTGGCTGCTCCCACTGAGTGCAGAAGATCAGCATTCCCATAGACACAGACTAATGGATTAATGATGCTTTAGTAGTTATAGCTTTTATCCACTCTGACCCATTACTTCAATTTAGGAGTATATTTTTAGAAGAGTGCCTTGATCCCAGTACCTGAAACAGAGAGGAAATCATCCACCGAGGTGATGTCATCAACAGCTTCAGTGAGGACTCGCACCTGCTTCTCCCACTGATCTTTAAACACATCCATGTTGTCCTGGGCTACTTTGCTCTGGGGTCTGGCAGCCAACGTGAGTGCAGCATTTATTACCTGTTATTCAAACCCAGTTGTTAGGAGAAGTGAAAGTTTTTTCACAACAAAAAGAACAAATAGTTTACGGGCTGTGTTAAAAACACAACATTACACCCCACTTGATATGTGGGTCTCAAGGTATGAATGAATTTTTCACAGGTCATGGAAATCAGGCAACAATGTCATGACAAAGACAAGGTTATAATCTTCACCCAGGCTGTTTTCCCTGTCTCAGCTAACTGATGCTTTTAAACACTAAAAGAATTCTCAGGTACATTTCAGTAGGAATCTTACTTACCTGTGGGCACAGACTATCAATCTGGGTGGCTGCCATACGGACTAACTTCACGCCTTCTTCATTATTTGAGATTGAACAGGCCAGATTGGCAACCTACAATGAAATCAGCAGATGAGAATCAAGTTTTAGGCAAGTAAGCCATTAGAGTCATGACTTTCTCTGTTCCTATTGAGCCCTGCCTGGAACGAAAGAATTGTATACAAGAAGAATAATGCATCATCTTCTGTGCTGGTGAACAGAAACACGTGTAGATTATTTCCTTACTGGCAAACTGAACTACCCACCTTCTTTAGATTTTTCTCAGAATCTGTCCTCACTGTCAAGTGTTTCACATCCTCCTCTACAGCCTGAAAATTATCTCCTGAGAAGTCATGTAGAGAATGCAGAGCACCCAGACAATTGTCTATACATTTTCTTTTCTCACAGTTTCTTTTTTTTTTCTTATTAACCAGGTCCAAATGAATACAGGTAATCAGGTTCATCCATATACTTTGAGCTTTGCAAAATGCAGAATCTTTAATGCCCTAACACATGGAATTGTACTTTTCCATCCATAAACAAAACTCTGGGAAGCTACATACCACTCGAATATTTTCATTGTTTCAGATCCTGATGATTTTATGAGGGTTTTATTTCAATTCTCAGGTGGACCTCTTTATTTCTATGTGATTGCCTGCCCTACAATAAGATAGATATCTACCATAACAGTGATGTGAAATATCTCTGGTGAAAGCCTCATTCAGTAACATATGCCTGAAGATCTCATTCAAAGATCTTTGGATCTACATTTGCTCACTCTGGCACAGCTCTGGGCAGTCTGAACCTCATAAGACTGAAGGCTATTTGGATAAGATGAAGACAGAGGAGACTTAGAGAGACATCTGAATGAGATCTAGCAATCAGATCATGTCTCCAGAGCTGCATCTCTGTGGCTTGGATTCAAGTGGAAGAGCATGTTCTCCCAGCTCATATAGTTCTTCCAAAAAATGCATTCCCAAAAGCTTTGGCCAAGTCCATGAATCAGCCATGGTTTTCCAAACAGCAATTCATGGCACAGTGAACATAATTAAGCTCATCGGTGATATTTAAATCACAAAGGTACATTTTGGGACGGGGGAATACAGGATATTTTTTTAATCATCCAAAAGTACGGCTTTTAATTCTAATCTACATTAAAACAAACTTATAAATTTTAAATACGCTTCCTTGATATTATTCACTGTGCCTGAAGGCACAACTATCAGTTGGAAATGATTCATGAATTAGTTCAAATACCCCCATCCTTCCAATTTTCCTCCAGTCTCCCCTTGTGGTATTAAACTGTTCTCATCTCCAGTGCACATCCCCGCATTAGCCCTGATCCATCTGTTCTGCATGGAACCTATTTCCCTTCACAGTTCTGGGGAACGTGGTTTGCATACAACACAGTGCCAAAGCTCAGGAAAGGAAAGAACCCAAGGCTTCAAAGAGTCTTGCAGGCATTTCCTAGTCAAGATTTTACCACAGTGTTGTGATTTTTATTTTCATTTCATGATGAGACAAATGAGTGAGTCTGTTTGTTAACAGCCTTACAGCCCTCGTGTCAAAAACGTTCTTCTGAGCTGACATCTTCCAATTAAGTCACCATTTTCTGTAGTCACTTCTTTGCACACATCAAACAGACCACTTTAATCTTCACCAGAAACAAAAGCTAAGCAGGATGATAATTAGAATGCATTAACATGAGTGGAAATTACAGACCTTAAAGACTAGTAAATAATATTAAGTTCAGCAAGTGCCATCTTCCTGTATTTGAAATAAGTGGCTTTTCAGATTGCCCTTTCATTTTGTGATTATCATGATGGGAATTTGTCCTAAGGCTTCAGATGCAACATACATCTTATTTTTTCACAGATAGCACTGAAAGGGGCTGGATGTCATGAAATGGCAATCAAACTGTGAAGCAGGTCTTTGAGTTCTTCTGGAAAAGATTTTGGCAGATATAATCAGCAAAAATAAAACATATTTTGTCTCTGTTAATTACTCTTTCAATAAAATTCGATGAGATAATAATTGGATGTTGTAAAGTGCCCTGTTTTCTGAGGAGGGATTCAGACATAACCAGAGAAAACTTTTTCTCCTTTATTTGTAAAACAGAGTTCAGCACATTGGTTTGGGTGCTAATATCAATACAGGAGTACAAATGTAATCTATTGCTACATTAAATATGCATCAAAAGAGCATTACAGTTATCTGTTTAAAAGAAATAGTGATATATATCATGTATAATCCTTACACGATGAGCCTAATAGTTTCTGTGGTATATTTCAAGTCTTGCATAAATACAGCACTGTATCATCAGCAGTCAGAAAGCAATACTGTGTCACAATTCAGCAGGGAGAGTGCCAGCCTGTACCATGGGAAGATATGATTATGTCAAATAAGTACAGAGATAAGCAAATTCCACAAAGGTAGATGCAATCTGGATAAAATTGAATTTAGCACTGCAAATCGGAAATACTATGACTTTACCCAAAACTGATTTTTAAAACATGGCAAGAAATAGCCATTACTTGCTTAAGCCTGCATTTTAGTGCCACTGCATAAGTGTGGATCTGTGAAACAATACAAGTTCTAAGTGCACTCGATCACCAGACACTACACTATTTAATTATTTTGATTGACTTTGCTATCAAATACAGAGTCAGGTCACTATCAATTAGTATTCCTGGCACAGCAAGGTCCCCATTCATGCTCTTAGTTGATAGGAACCATGAGGTAATTCACCATGCTTTTAGCCTACTATAAATTCAGCAACTTCAGATATTTTTCCTATTTAAAACTATGACAAGAAAAGCTTAGACCCAATTCCACCCCACTTAGCTGAGACACTTTGACAATCCTTCAGATAACGGAAAAAAAGAGTAAGGCCCTTCCAGAGGCTGTTTTAGGTCTCTGGTTGACTCTCTGATCCTCTAGATGTGTCTAGTTTATTATTTAAACTTAGCTGGCCCTGATGATTGTTGAAAAAGGTATTACTGAAATGAAAGAGGCTGTAATGATGTATTATAACTTGTTTTGCATGGGCATAGTTAATACAACAAACTCTTCAAGGTTGGGAATTCGTTAAATATGCCATTCCTGAGCCGGATGGAGCAGACAGCTTGAAAAGGAAAACAAAAAGGCTGTATATTACCATAGCTGCCAATTACCAAACCTTTGATTTGACAGCCTTTACCTTTATGCTTCAAGTGCTCTGTCTCCACCAAAGCATTGAAAAGAAGGTTTCATGAAAGGCTGTGGAAGCAACCAGGTAATTAATTTTTTTCTTTTTTTTTTTTTCCTGTTTATTAAGTTCCTTGAGCACCCTGACTTCACTGAGTGCCATAAAGAACTTAAGATTGTATTAAGATCAATGTGAACTGTCTGAAGAGCATTTATATGAATGAATACATTTTAAATACCAAAATCAATGAACTGTGAATCATCCTCGAACGTAATAACAGTGAAACTGCTGTGCAGATAAACATTATTGTCCAGAATTTCAGGTCTGCTAAGCTACTCTTATACCATCAAAACAATTGCTAAACACCTTAAACCTGTCCTGTAAGAGCACGGAAAGGTAATGAGCAAGAAAATAAACACTCCAGGTGCAGCAACGTTGTATTTTTCTGTAATCACTGAACCCACTGAACCAGCCCTAGAACTGGGGATGTGAAGAAGCAGGTACAAACTGCTTCATATTCATTTCCATCACTGGCACTGATAGCACAAGATGCAATTCTGCACCTTGCCAGGCATCTCTCTTTAATCATGCAAAGAGTTCCAGTAGTTTCAGTTATTCAAAATACATACAGAACCAGTCACAACAAAATACATCTGCATGTATTTGGTTGTATTTCAGCTTCAGTTTCTTACTGGATAGCAGATTGGGCTGGGGAGGGACTTGGTTTCTAATGCAAACTTTTATTACTCTTTGTGGTATCTTGACCCTGTTTGGACCTCAGGTGCTCTGTCAATCCCCACCTCAGCTGGACAGGGGAGAGAAAATGCAATGAAAGGCTTGTGGGTGGAGTTCAGGGCAGGCAGAGATCACTCACCAGTTACCATCATGGGCAAAACAGTTAACTGTGGGAAACCAGCTTAAATTATTACCAATCAAGTCAGAGTAGCATAATGAGAAATAAACTAAACCTTGAAAACACCTTTCCCCCCTCCCTTTCCTTCTTCCTGCACTCAACTTCACTCCCAAATTCTCTCCCTCCTCCCTCTCAGTGGCACAGGGGATGGGAAATGGGGGCTGTGGTCAGTCCAACATGTTGTCTGTGCTGCTACTTCCTCCTCAGGGGTTGGACTCCTCACGCTTTTCCCCAGTTCCTGCCTGGGGTCCCGCCCATGGGAGACAGTTCTTCATGAACTGCTACAGCCCAGGTCCCTTCCCACAGAGTGCAGTCCTTCAGGAACAGGCAGCTCCATCATGAGGTCACAAATCCTGTCCAGCAAACCTGCTCCAGTGTGGGCTCCTCTCTCCACGGAGCCACAGCTCCTGCCAGGATCCTGCTCCAGCACGGGCTTCCCACGGGGTCACAGCCTCCTTTGGGCATCTCCCTGCTCCAGTGTGGGGTCTTCCATGGGCTGCAAGTGGATCTCTGTTCCCCCTGGGCCTCCCTGGGTTCAGGGACACGGCTGCCTCACCATGGGCTGCCCCTCGGGCTGCAGGGGAACCTCAGCTCCCATTCCTGGAGCACCTCCTGCCCCTCCTGCTGCTCTGACCTGGGGTCTGCAGGGCTGCTCCTCTCACACATTCTCACTCTCTGTCAGACTGCTGCCCAGCAGTTTTTTCCCACTTTTTACACACATTGTCCCAGAAGTGCCACCACCATCTCTGATGGAGTTGGCCTTATCCAGAGGTGGGTCCATCCTGGAGCCGTCTGGAATTGGCTCCATGGACATGGGGGAAGGTTCCAGCAGCTTCTCACAGAAGCCACCCCTGTGGCCCCCCTTGCTACCAAAACCTTGCCATGCAAACCCAATACTCCATGGTTGAAAGGCCATGCCAAACAGGATTTACCTAAGGACACATGGATATGGCAGCTGGGAGTGCAGGCCCTGCT